AGGGCTTTCGCTGTTGTTTTTTACTGTGACAGATCTAAAAAATTCATAAAGCAAAACCAGATCACGTTCCCTAGCTGCTACAGCTTTACTTCTTTTAAGTTGATACAATCTCCAACATTAATTCCATGGTTCAAAACCACGAATGCTAAATAAAGACATCAAATCCAAAGCAACCGAGCAGCAGTTCCGAAGACGAGGTTAGGAGGAGAGATCTGTCTCTCTGGGAGTGGGGATAGGGAAGTCTCTGACCCAGAAAAATGCCACAGCTGAAGGGCAAGGAACCTCTCCAAATTAAAACTGCTTGATATCCTAGTGCAGTGGAAGAACCAGCACTACAAGAAAGAGGTACTTTGTAGCCGTGAGCTTTGCTGCTTGTCCCTTTACCCAGATACTCTTCTCTGTTCAGGATTCCCTCTGGATGCAAGATTCAGGCTTTGGAGAATGGGAGATGAGAACTGAGTCAGCTACGAAGAAGTTATCTAGGCTTAGTAAGAGCATAAGGAATTTTAGGAGGTACTTCTGTGATCAAGGGGTAAGATTTCTGAACCAACAGAAAATGTAACTGTAACATGCAGCTCCCAGACCTTGTGTTCTGAATCCAGTCAGCATTTCCACTGCATGGTCAAAAATTGGTCAAAACCAGAAGTTTGATTGATTGTTGTTTGTGCTTGATTTGTTTTGTTTTGTAATAGAATCACTGGTAACCACAGAACTGTCAGGGCTGGAAGAGACACCCAGAGATCATCTAGTCCAACTCTGGCACTGAAGTAGGATCACCTAGAGCACATCCCACAGGGCTGCATCCAGGGGTGAATCTCTCCAGAGAAGGGGACTCCACAGCCCCCCTGGGCAGCCTGTCCCAGGGCTCTGTCACCCTCACAGCCAAGAAGTTTCTCCCCACCTTTCAGGGGCACTTCCCATGTTCCAGCTGGTGCCCGTTGCCCCTCGCCCTGTCCCTGGGCACTGCTGAGCAGAGTCTGGCTCCATCCTCCTGCACCCACCCTCAGACACGTGTAGGCATTGATCAGGTCTCCCCTCAGCCTTCTCTCCTCCAGGCTGAACAGCCCCAGCTCCCTCAGCCTTTCCTCAGCAGGGAGATGCTCCAGCTCCCCATTCATCTTTGTCACCCTCCCCTGGACTCTCTCCAGCAGTTCCCTGTCTCTCTTGAGCCCAGAACTGGACACAGGATTCCAAATGTGGCCTCATCAAGGCAGAGTAGAGGGGGAGAATGACAGTGATTTTGGATTATTGTAAATATTTCTACTCCAAAATTTAAACTCTTGAAGGCCTTCAGAGCAGTCACTCCAATTAATTCATTCACCAACTGCAGGTGGGGGTGGGGGGGAGAAAAGCTGTGGCACCAACTGTGACTCACCCTCCAGTGAAGATCTGTCTGCAAAATGCCCACAGTAGCACAGCATCACCAAACTTGAAAGCACTGAGAGAAGACACCATCCTTTCACTGAGATGCTTTGGTGCTTTTAGCTGCCAGGAGAGCGAATGTTCCAACTGGCACGGCCTGATCTGATGTTCTGCTTCAGCTGCCCTGTCTGTGGAGAACAGTTCTCTCCACAGGTTCACTTGATGGTGTTGAGCAAGCCAGCTTCAACATGAAGCTGCATTTCAAGCAGCTGTCTTTGATCATAAGCCTGGAGAACTGAATCTTCCCCAGGTAAATGTTAAATACTCTCTACTCCATCCCTGCCTAAGACGGACTATGATGCACAAGCAGAGCCTCTGCTACTGGATGCAGAATAACACCTCATCTGTAGGCTGCCAGAATCACATGTGCACAGAATCACAGAACCATTTAGGTGGGGATGGCCTTTAAGATCATCAAGTCCAACCATAAACCTAGCACTGCCAAGGCCACCACTAAACTATGTCCCTAGGTGAAGAATAGGAGAGGTCTCCTCCCAGCTATAAAAGGAGACATGCCTACACAGCCTGCATTACAGAGATGCTTCTGACTCTTCTGCCCCACCACACATCCCACCCTCTCCTGCAGGAGCAGATCAAGTGCTGGGGAAAATCTGCCCAGACCAGAAATGTGAGCATTATCCTGCAGCATGGATTTCTTTAAAACAAACAACCCCACTGCTGAAAGGACTAGGCTATCATCAGGAAGTGTTCAAATCAGCAAGTTTGCTGGAGCTTCAAAGCAGAAAATTGAGAATTTCACTTACACTTTCCACAATAAATACCCCCCAGCAACTTAAAGCTATTTAACTTATATAAGCTATATACTAAAACAGTCAAAACAGAATTAATTAACCCCCTGTCCCCAAATGGGCATTTTCCCTATACACTGGATTACTCCCACAAGGAATTACAATTACATACATTTTTAATTTGCCTGAGAATTGGATACTTCACTCCATTTTTGTCACCAACAACTCCAATTCAATTTTGAGAAGTGTAAGTGTTAGTTACTGTGTCTGGAGCACAATCATTCTTGCAAAAAAACCCCAAACCCTAAAAGCTCCAAGGCCACCAGCAGCTTTCCCTTTGGTCTTTTTTAATTAAGCCAAAAGTAAGTAATGAAGCCAGAAGTTGAACACTCCATTTTTCAGTTGCTTTATCCCAAGTATCCAGCTAGGAAGCTCTCAGCATTTTCATGTTGACAGGATGTAGAGCCACATGTGTTGGTCGTGCAACCAGCCTGGGTGAAGTGTTTGCTGCAGGTTTGGAAGCCAAAAGGGAAGATTTGCCTTTGCAGCATATCTGCTTTCATGTACAAAATGAGATTATACTGGATTTAGCAGGATTTGTCTCACTGGTTTTAGCCACTTACAGTGTAGATGTTTATACATGAGGTAGTGGCCAAAGGGCCCTCCCAGCTTTGATGATCCCCCTTCCAGTGGGGTGAGCACTGAGCACCATGTCTAGGCTGGCAAGTTATATCTGATCTGGCCACCCTTTAGATGTACAAAAAGCTGCTCCTTAATTTTAGCAAGTACTTCCTCTAACACATGGTTTTCCTAAAAGCACACAGCCTGCACAACAGAGAGAAGGCTACAGTAGCTGCATCACAATCCATGACATCTATTCAGGAAGATGGAAGGAGGATGAGGAAGAAAAGGACTACCCGATCCAAAAGACAAAGGTATCAAGATTACCAGCCACTATAAAACTAGATTTATTCAGATTACAGAGACACACAAACACAGCAATGGCAATTCATTAATGGAATGGCTTTAAAGATTTCCTTTGTTAGGAATTAAGGAAGTCAGAATGCTGTCTGGTACCAAAAATAAATCTGGACATGCTATTATTGGAAAAGTAATTGATTTACTACAATTCTATTTTTTATTCTACAGGAAGTCAGATTAGCTGATCACCATGATGCCTTCTGGACTTTTGTCTTAAATAACTTAATATTAAAAAAATTTATATACCTAGATAGTTACATAGCTGGTCTTCCTAATGAAATCTAGAAGCCCATCTCAGATACCAACTAAG